CTTATATAGTTGCCCATAACAAATTATTAATAAAGATAAAGGCAAAACCTCACCTTAATACCAAAAAAAAAAAAAAAGAAGTTGTGTCTGATGTTTATAGGAATATATTCTTATAAGGTTTGTTTAAAAATAGTAACACCCTCTGCTGCATATTGCTGTTGTTTGTTTTTATCTAAAAATACAACCTCTAAGTGGGTTCTTTTGTTTTTGCTAATTACTAGCCAGGCTGCAACAAGGTCTTTTCCCATTTCTTGTTCCAAAGGTTCTATGATTTTTGTAATAAAAATGTTTTCTAAACTGAATAATTCAAAGATTAGTGCATTCTTATTTTTGGTAATAATTTTTTTTCATAAAGAATAAGTAGAATATATGGCTATTTCTCTTTCTAATTTTGAAAAAAAATCTGATTACTGTTTCAGTTTGGTTTGTTTTTTTTTGAGTTTCTGATTGGTTGTTTACATAATTAGATATAGGTTTCTTATGTATTGTTTGTTTTGTTTGTTCATCTAAAATTTGATTTGTATTGCTTAAAGAAATAACTAAAAACAAGTCTTCTTTTTTAAGTTCAGTTGTTTTGCCCTTTTGACCTTTAAGACTTTCTATAGTAACCTCTAGCATATTTTCATTTTTTTGTTTTTTTTCTGCAACAGAACTATCAGACCTGTTGTTTTTTTCTTGTTTTATTATTTTGTCAACATCTTTAGAACCAAGACTAAACTTTTCTTTAGGGCTTGCGATTTTGGTTTTTTTATTTCTGTAACTTATTGATACTAAACTAGACATAGTTAAACAAGCTTGTTTTCTTTTTCTGAGTACAAGAATTTTAGCTCTTGTGCTGTTTTTAGTAGATTTTTTCAATAAAGGTTTAATAGTTTTTACTTATTTTGTTCTCTACTACTAAATATAGATAAAGAGAGTGTGTGATTTTTTCTTTATTATATAAAATTTAGTAATTTTATATAGTAAAATTAATAATACTCATATATAAAAAGTTAGTAATTATAAAATGTTTTTATAATTTAAAAATTTTATTTATATTTAAATATAAAAAAAATTTTTTTAACATATATTTTATATTTATATTATTTAAAAATATATTAATTATTAATTTTTTTTTGGTATTAAGATAATATCTTTAGTCTTTTGACTTTTATTAATAATTTTTTTAGTAATATAATTTTATAAACTATTACAGAAAGAGTGTATAATTGACTATATATGTAACTTTTTTATATTATCTATTTAAAAAGTTTGCTTAAAGGTTTTTACTAATTGCTGTATCTAATATGCTTAAGTGTTTTATTTTAAACTTTCTAAATTTGCAATTTGTTTTTTTTTTAATATTAATAATAAGGCTATGTCACTATCTTTATTGAATATTTAATTGAGATTTTACATAAAGTATAATTCTATTTTTAAAATATTATAAAAAGAATAGAAGCTCAAACTAATTTATCTGCAATCTAAACTAACAGAAATAGCCAAGGCTCATCTAGATTTGAATGTTAGTAATTATATATAAGAGGTTAGTTTGATATTTGATCTATTGAATATATTAAAAGTTTATTTTTGAACTAATGGAATTAAATAGAAGAGAACATAATAGAAGTGAAACAGAGTTTGATAATGAGTTGTATTCAGATAATTGAGTTGTAAATCTTGAAATACAGTAAGAAATCCAGAATTTGTTGATTAAGATAAAGCATAAACTTTATAATAAGTATTGTAGCTACTTTTTTGATTAACAAACTTATGATAATATTAATAAGTTTATTTGATATTAAATCTGTTAAAGTTAAAAAAATTTGATATACTATGAATATCATACTATTTAACAACTTAATTTAATTATATAAATTAACTATAATGTTTAATATAGTGTTAAGTAAGTTAGTATTAAAGGTGTATTGTAATGAAGTATTTATAAAATTGTATAGTAATTAATTAGATAGACAAATTGTCTAGTGAAAGTGAGAACTAATTTGGTAACATTAATAACAAATCAGTAAATATAAGTGGTATTTTTTATATAAAATATGTGAAATAAGAAGATTATCTAAAAGAAATTTAATTTTAAAAGACTTAAGAATAAAAAACTAAAAACTGCATAAGAAGTTTGAGATTTTTTGGTTATTGTTGATATATAGTTAGATTGTTTGCCAATAAATTTGGTTAAGAATTTTGTGCCATTTTTGAAAGCAGTTTTGTATAATATATAATGCATAAATATGTACATAATATATTTATAAATACTGTAATAAATAGGTAGTTCTAAGAAAAAATTTTCAAAGTTTAAAGTATATACAGAATTATAGATATTATAAAATATAAAGATAAGATATAGCAAATTATGATGATTGCATACCAAATTGATCTATAAGATTATTGTACTAGTTATCTTGATAAGCAATAACTTTGTAAAAAGTAATATATATTATATAATTTGATAAAGTTAATAAGTATATTCCATAATAAGAAATATAATGTATGTATATAAGATAAAGTATAAATTAAGTTTGAAAAACTATGATATTTAGAGATTACAGACTGTGAGTTAGTATATATATGTATAGTACTATTTCTAGAAACAGTAATAAAAGTTGATAAGATAGCAGTAAGCTCAAACTTAAATAAACTAAGTTAGTATTTTGTTTGAGCCTAAAATATGTACAAAATACTATTGTTTAAAATTTGGATTCATCTAATGTCTATAGAGCATTGTAATATATCTAAATTAACAACAAAGTCATCAGTATAGAAATGAAGTTCTAATAGATATACATTGTTGTTAGCAATTTGTTAAAAATTGTTTGTTAAAATACTAGATTCAAAAACAGTTAGAATTAAGTATATTGTAATGTTAATATTAGAAGGGTTAGAAATTTAAATAGAATGTCAAATTGCAATAGAGTATATAAGATCAAGATGATTAGCATTAAAGTTAAGGGTTTTGTTATATGTATTAATTTGAATATTAATTGTGTATTTATTAGTAATTGTATAAAAGTTGAGAAAGCAGCATAGATATGCTTATAATTAAATGAGTAAAAATAGATAAAAACAAGTGAATTATGTTTCTATATAATATTGCTAATGAGTAATAAGGATGGTTTCTAAAAAAGAAAGTTGTTTTCTGGTTTTGCTAATAATAATTTGATCATCAAGTACTGTAATAAGCCATGGTTTTTTGTATAAAGAAAAGTGTTCAGTTGAATAACTATAGTAATTTGTACTAGATAGATATAAATGTTAATAAAAAGTACAATTGTATAAATGACTTGTAATTTGGTCTTCTAAATAGTTAAACCAAAGTGGTTGTTTGTCTTTAATAATTTTGTATATATATAAAAATATGTGTTTTTAATCTAAAAAATATGAGTTATTAAATGTAATAAGTTGGTCTAAGTAGAGAATATAGTGATATCTAAGTTGTTTTTTGAATGTTTAGTATTTTGGATATGATAAAAATAGTAATTCAAGTAAAATAGATCTTTTTTAAATAGTATATAAAATATTGTATAGTGGATTAGATGCAAACATTATACTAAGATATTTGAAGAGTTGAATAATTTTAAAGTTAATAATGTGTTTGTTAAGCCTAATACTTTACAAAATTAATTTAAAATTTGAATTTGAATCAAATTTTAAAAATATTTAATCAAATTTTTTAAGAATTTGATTAAATATTTCAAATATTTGATTCAAATTTAAACTTTAACTTAATTTTGTAAAGTACTAATTAAGCTTATTGATAATAGAATTATTATGTATCAAAATACTAGTAAATGATCACAAGTTATTTTGAAGTTGTTGAAGCCTACCTATTTCTTAAAGGTCAGAAAAAATAAGCCTTTTGGTAAGTTTATAATATGATGTTGTAATTGAATATTCTATGCATTACAGATATTGTATAGATGAAGGTAAAGTAATATGCTAGTAGGAATTGTATAACTAAGTTTGACTTTGCTTTTTATGAGTCCTATATGACTTGTGAGAATTTTGTTACATGTATTTTAATTAAGAACAATATTATAAAGTCAGTATTTGATTGTAGGAATAATAACAGTATTGATAATATAATATGCATATATGTCAGTGATTTGTTTAGTGCTTGCTATTTTAATAAGATATGATAATTTTGCAGTAATGAGTTTAGTTTGTTTAGTTTGCTTGTTGTTAAATATAAACCAATATTAAAGAAATTTAAATAGTTTATTTAGTAAATAAAGATTAAAATAATTATTATATATAATAAAAGTATAGTTGATTTGTTTGTTATTTGTTGTAAGTACAGATTTAGAAGGATTAATTTGTATATTAGCTATATTAAAAAATAATTCAGCTATAAAAAGGATTTGTAATAGTTCTTGTTATAAGGATGCAATTTAAAGAGTATTATTCATATAAGCAATAACTAAATAATATGTATATTATATCTTTTGAAGTTGTTATAAATATATAAGATAAGTGAATCATAGTAAATTTTCTATAAACACTACATTTTTTACCAATCTTATTTATGAAACAATAACAAAAACAATTACTTATATAACTGATATTACTAGCACTTAAATCAATAAACTACAAGAAATACTTTCACAACACAATAGCCTTTCATTTAGCAACATAACTCTATAACAAACTAACATTTATACAACATTACAAGGATATGTGCCTAATAACCTTATTTCATTAATCAGATTATTTACTCAATCATAAACAGAAGCAAAAAATATTACTACTAAACTTCTATACAAGCTGTCTCAAAAAGTCTATGAACAAATATAGAAACCATATTGTACAAAACTGGCACAATGGAAAAATAATAACAACATTTTACAGTATACCAAAAACCAACAAAGAAGACCTACATGAACTAATCATAATGATATATACTATGTTAACAGACATCAA